TCACTGAGTGAGAACTAATGTTGAGAGCTCAGCAGACAGTTAAGTTTCACTTTCAATTTCACCTGAGAGCCTGCAGGAGTCATGGGCGGGGTGTGTGGGGGAGGGGGTGCGCTCTGCCATGAGGAAGTTCGGTTTAAACACACGTCCCAGGGGCGTTTCTGGTCCCCACCTGTCGTTTTGCTCCTCAGCATGGCTTCATAAAAACGCTGCAGGATTTCTCAAACTGAATGAGTCAAAGCAAGGCTTTGGACATGTTTTTTATGAGAGTATAACATTATAACATGATAAAAAACTCAAAAAAGTTGATTTTACATGATACTGCCCCTTTAAGCTAACCTGTCTGATTAAAGTACTTTCCAAATGGAGGGATCTTCCTGCTGACGTGTTTTCAGATGCAGGAACGTAAGAAGCAGAGCAGAGCAGAGAGTTAAACCTGTGTTTGTTTGTTTTCAGTGACCGGGGCCGAGTATGAGGCCATGCTGACAGAGATCATGTCTATGGGATATGAGAGGGAGAGAGTGGTGGCAGCGCTACGGGCCAGTTTCAACAACCCACACAGAGCTGTGGAGTACCTGCTCACTGTATGTCACACACACAAACATACACACACACACACACACACACATATACACACACACACTAAATCTGAACTTTTTATGGAAAAGATTTCTCCTGCTGAAAGTGGAGCGTTCTCTGACTTAACCCAGTCCTGATCAGGCAGGTAACTTGCAGGACTTGCGGAGAAACCTATGTTTTTTCTTCAATAACCACTAAGATCAGTTTTTCTGTAACTTAAGAGAAATCTTGTATCAAGCAGTTACCTTGTAAAATTAGAAACCTGGTTGTATACTCATGAGTATGATGATACACACATGTGGGTGGAGACAAATGTGTCATTTTAAGAACTGTGTCTGTAAATGGAATCTATATACTGTAGGTGGAATCACGTCAGGTTTGATGATTCAGGATGAGATGTGATTACAAAACAGTTATAAATTCACCCAAAATCACACTTGAAACAAATTCCTGATCAAAGAATGTCTCAGAGGTAAAATGGAGACATCCTGTAGGTGCATGTCTCTGCTCAGAGCCTGCACTGGTTCGACACAGTGGATCACAGGGCTTTGAGGTTTGTTCCAGGCTGCAGAGCTCTTACTCATCACTGAACCCTGCATGCCAGAGCTCACTGGCCTTCATTTGCAGACTCATACTGGTACCTGTTTTTTTATAATGCCATTCCTTTTTTTTACCCTCTTCTACCTTTGTGTGCATCTTCGTTTAAAACTGGACATTATTAACTGTGTTCTAACGACATCCATTTATTGATTGTTCCCACAGTTCCTACAGAACTTGGTCGTAAAACTTTTTCTGCCCGTGCAGCATGGAATTATCTTCAAACTGAATTACAGCTTCAAGGACTGATCCCAATTGGTGCTTTTAAAATTAAATAAAAAAAAAAAACAGTCTCGGTTCTGAAAGCTCACTTAAATTAACTACATCTTTACATCCAAACACAGGCTTTCTGTTGTTTGCACACCATTGACAGCCCATCATTGCCTTTTGCAGGTTGTGTTTAACAATAAATAATCATTTTTTAACATTTATAAATCGATTCAAAATAGTTGTCAACATTACTRTTAATCTAAAAATGGATCAACTCTCACCCATATAATGCTCTGTACAAGCAGGTTGAGCCTGTTGACATCGTTTGTGGTCATTTTCTGGTTTTCATGACCCAAAAAGTTCTCAAAATGTTAAAAATGTTAATTCTGAACCTTCTTAATAAATGTGCTGATTTTAAAAGGTTGTTTTGAATTTGTGTGTGTGTGGAGTAGACCTGAGCAGTCAGTATCTTACCTGCAGTAGACAGTGATAAGAGTGATCTCAGTTGAAAGCAGCAGGGGTATATGATTAGGCTAACAGCTACTGAGAGCAAGACTCATCAAAAATCTAAAGTTTGTCTAAAACAGCTTAAACTTCCTTATAGTCAAGTTAAATTTGATGTTTTTCCTCTTTTTTTCCATGAGACATTTGTCGTGATTATTTTCAGTCAGTGCCATCCTGCTGAAAGCCACACTGGAGTGTATTCTGCTGCTGATCTAACGAGTTGTTTGTTTTTTCTTATAAAAACCTTGTTTGTTTATCTTTTACTCACTCTACCCATTGTTTAAGGCTTTAAATGAAATCCAGGCTGATCAGCAGTGGATTGAGAAAACTGTAACAAAGTAAACAATGTTTTGACTCATCAGTGATGAGATATAAAAACAGAACTTTGATTTGAACTATTGGAACCTGTTTGAGTTGTTTTAAACGTCTTAATTGTGCTCTTGAATGTTTCCTGCTCTGATTGGCTGTCAGCTTCACGCCCTCATGAGGTTTTCTCCCTGATTCTCCTGAGTGCTGTTCACTGCCAGGCTTTAACAGGACGCTTCTGCAAAGCAATCCTAAAACCTTCAAAATAAAATGGTTTGAATTAAATCTGAAGTTAAATTTTTTGTTTGTTTGATGCATTTAATAGTAAATTATTGTAGGGATTACAGTTTACAACACATGGCCTTAACACAAATGATTTTGGTCTGTCTATATTTGAAGGAACTTGCAGGAAGTGTACATGTGTGTGTTTATGTGTGTGTTGCATGAACAGGGTATCCCAAGTAGCCCAGTTCAGGAGAGTAATCCACCAGCGCAGGCCCCGGCATCTGGCCCCACAGAGGCTCCATCTCTAGCAGAAGGTAACCTTGAAGTGTTTAGTCWTTTTTTTTCTGTAAAATATGAAACCACCGTGAGCTGCAGTCAATAAATTTGTGTGAACCATCTGGACTAAAGGCTTATATAAACTGCTGTTAATGACTGCACCTTCACTATAAAGATTGTTTTTAGTTTATTTCTGCTCATCAGAGCTTGTTGAACACTGAGTTGCACAGGTTTTTTTCCTCTACAAGATTTCTATAGAAGATTTATTGTCACTTACCTCCAGGGTAACTCTGTATCTGAGAAAACTGATTTCTTACTCTTCAGAATTATTCTCCACAAACCTTTTCTTCTTTTACACTTATACAGTTCAAACATCATAATGTAGTTTTTACGTTTTTAAAATTTAGTTTATTGCATTTCAGATTTTATAAAAGCAAATTGATGATTGGTGTAATTTTGTGGCACCCTTCAGATGTTCAGAAATTCTACAGACACATAGTTTTGCACTTTAAAAACCTCATGTCAAGCAGGTTAAAGGGAGCTTAATTTATAATTGTATGTTTCAGACTTTTTCTCTACTTMATGTTTTGTGTGTCTTCAGGAGAAAACCCACTTGCATTCCTGCGCACGCAGCCCCAGTTCCTGCACATGAGACAGGCCATCCAGCAGAACCCGTCTCTGCTCCCAGCTCTTCTCCAACAGCTAGGCCGAGAGAATCCTCAGCTCCTCCAGGTAACTCTTCAGTTTGATTTGTCTTTTTTATTCCCCATCAATGTCTTCACATAACCTCTTTGTTGCCACCAGAGTTGTAAAGTAACTAAGTACAAATACTTTGTTACTGTACTTTAGAACTTTTGGGTATCTGTACTTTACTTGAGTAATTATTTTTCAGCCTACTTTTTACTTTCTACTTCTTACATTTTTAAAAAAGGCAAGAAGTAGAAAGTTGTTACTTTTATTTCATTTTTGCTTGTTTTCATTCCAGCTTTTTTTTGTTCCCACACCTTGGTCAACATCAAATTTAAGGACCTTTCAAGGTCTTTCCAGTAC